ATGACACATACATACACACACAAATGCAACTTCTTTTGAATGTGTTAAATGTTATTAAACTAACAAATAATAGTAAGTTACCGATTTCTGAGCCTCTTACCCTCACAACTCTCTAAGGTAGGTTTTAGTACCTCCATTCAGCAAATGAAGAAACTAAAAAAGGTTAAGTGACTTGACTCAGACTACAGAGCTAGTAAATGAAGAGGCTGAAATTCAAAATCACTTGTACATGGCTCTGCGGCCACGTTTTAACCCATACACCATGCCCTCTCCCACGGCATATGACTGTTAAATTTTTAACCACCATAACATTTCTTTATCAAGACCAGTGTTTTCTGACCGTGCTACCCGCAGAGTGATGTTGGAGTTCATATATTTTAAATTTCATGGAAAAAATGAACAGCTTACTTAGTTGTTTTAAAATGCAGGTCTTGCTAGCAGTAAGGAAGACATTAACTCTCAAAGATACGGTAAGTAGGTGAGTATCAACCCAGAATTATAAAAATTACCAACAATGCCCCAATAATCCCAACTTAATTACTTAGCCCTTTAATTATGCTAGGTTCTTTGTGTGATATAAAACAGCCAGTATAACCCTAGAGATAGCAGATTTTCAAACACCTAATTTCTTTCTTCATTATTCACATTACGGAATCACATCATCTGTGGACTTAATTACATCAATTCAACTATCTGTGTGCCGTAAGGAAAAAAAAGAGAGAGAAAAATACTCTAAATACTGGTGGCAGGACACCCACCCTTACATCCCTATTGCAGAGAGAGCATGCCATGGAGACTAAATCTGCTGTCCTCGGTCAATCTAAAGTTCTATTCATGGGTCAAAATATATGTCACATAACCAATTATGATTCCAGCTCACCAAAAAAGTAACTTGTTCTAAAAACTGGAGGAAAAACTTGTTGTGAGAATTGAAAAACAATGTCAGTTAATCAAGTTTCAAACTGGTGAACTTTCTCCAGGTAATTCTGACTACACAAGATTTTTTTTTTACCTTACATAAGAGTTTAGGCCTAAAGCCCCCACATAAAAGGGGATTTCACTTTACTCAGCTCTTTAGATCAGAAGGAATTAGGAACCAAAACCTCTGTCTTTCATATATCAAAGTATGTCACTAACATATTTTTCGGCCTATTTCACAATAGGAAAAATAGAGCAACAGGGATCCTATAAAGAAGCCACGCCAGACACACATGTGGAAGCTGTTCCATGATTTATTTTAAAATAAACTAAAAATGTAACAGAAGTCTGTCAAGTGATCAAAAGTAATCCTTAAAAGTTGGTTCTCAACAGGAAAAAAAAGCACAAAACATACAGAGTTTTGAGATGTGCCATTACTACAGCATATGAAGACGAGGGTGAGAAGACCCCCAACTACGACAAAGCTTCTCCTTCACTCATACGCTGGCACTTACCTCTCCAGACATCAGTTTTCTTTTTCTGTAAAAAGAAGGGGCTAGTCTAAATAACCTACAACCACTCAGCATTATTATTTCCCAATCTCATACCTCCCTATTTTTATGTCCAACTCACAAATTCCTTTGTGGAAAAAAAAAGAAAAACTTAAAATAGGAGTCAATTCATCTAGCCTGCTATCAGTGAGGTAGAACTCTCTTTCACCCCACCACCCGACAGATACAAATGCTTTATTAAAAATTTCTGAGAAAAATTTTACAGACATCAGCAAGGTCCATATCATATAATCAGGAGATTCTACTTTACACAGTTAATTCACTTTTCCCAAAATTTTATTTCTTACCTAACTAGTGCCTGAGTGTCAACAGATCATTGAAAAGGAAGTTCCACAGCAAGTAAGTGGAAAAGTCAACAGGAGAGAAATTTTGATTAAGAGATTAATTATAACTCACTTCATTCACCCCATCTCATATACAAAAAATAGACTTCAAACAGTGTATTTCTTCCTGCATTCTCAGCTCATCCTAGTGTGTGCGGCCTTTGGTGATAGGACGAGGTAAAGATGCATTTTCACCTGGAACTTCCAAAGTAGCATGCCTTGGGGGACTCCGTTTCATAAGTCTATATGGCCTCTTCCCTCAGGGGGACACCATGTGGTACAGAAGTCCTTTTTTAGTTTGGGCAGTCTCCAAGTTTGCTATCTGACTTAACGTTTTACCATCTCAGGCATAGCAAAGGCCCTAACATGAGCCTTTAGGGTTAAGATGTTAGGAGGTCTGCTGCTGGGACAGTTCTCTCTGGAGAGTGGTCTATGGACACTTTTCAACAATCCCCATCCTCAACTTTCCTCAGTCCCAGACATTTGATTATTTGGACAGCTCTTCCTTTCCTTCATTCCACTTTTCTGCCTTTTTACTGATGATAAAAAAAAAACCATTTTTAATTCACAATTGTAACAGTGATTGTTTTTTCCAACTACCATTTATTCATGACATTTCACATTACCTCTATTTTTAATCTTACTAATACAAATGTTTTTAACTCTAAGTTTTGTAATTTCTAGTTACCATTAACTTCAGGATATTCTTCTGTCTTATGATATGCACTTTTCTCCAGATTAAATAAGCCTAGAACCTTTTACTTTTTAACCTAAATCTTAAAATATGTGGCCCAATTCTGATACTCTTATTTCTCTACTCTCAAAATATGAAGATCAACAAAGTTCAAGTAAGACTCTAGTGATAATTCCTTGCTTCTTGCATATTGTTTGGACTAGTTAAGTAGATTAATTAGAATACAGTTTTGATGGCTACAGATTTACTCTTCTCCCACAGGCCAATTGGCTTCATATCACACAAACTCCATTCCAAAACCAAAGACTAAATCCCATCAGCTAACTCCTAGATCCAGATTCAACAAGATGAGCTATACAGCACGTTCAGAATACAGTATCTCTGAAACAAACCTTCTGGTTATGTATCAGAGAGATGTCAGACACTAGATTATCTTCTTTTAGTATACTACCATGAGCTGTTTTAAGAATGTTGTCTTTAACAAACAACAAGCTGCTAACTCCTATTCAACTTGGGGTGCATTCACAAGGTCTCCTGCTTAGGTTGCCAAGTATACCAGTGAACAGAAGCCCAGATTTAGATAAACCAAGTGATCAATACCATTTTGAAATTACATTCTGTCTTCTAAGATTTTAGAAATTACAACCACCACCTTGTTGTGATTCACAAGTATGAACTTCCTATTTCTACCATCACCTAGACCAGTGGGAAAAAAATACAGAATAAAGACAAAGTCCCACAGGATGTCCCATATCATTGCCCATCTCCTAGGATTGCTATCAATTTTAGCAAAAAAGTATATTCACATTTTAAAACCTTACATTCACAATGGTTACAAAACCACCACGCTAAACGAGCACAGCCCGATTTGGTATACAGAACGGAAGGGGGAAAGCAACTATTTACTATGTACAGAAGAGTGCTCCTTTCTTTACACGGGCTCTCAGCTAATCCTCAAAACTCTGAGCTAAGTGTTAAAATTCTCCTTTGTTAATTATAAAAAAAAAAGAAGAAGAACAGGGAAGTTAAGCAACTTACAGTACAGACAGCCAGAGTCCTAGCGCTCATATACCATATGTGACATAGAAGTTTCTGTTTCTAGGCTTACTTGGTTAGCTCTATGTGACTCTGCACAACTTAGTATTTCTAACTTCAGTTTCCCCACCTGTAAAATGGGGCTTAAAAGAGGTAATTCAGGTCATGTTTACTTCAAAACTAAGTATACAGTAAGATTACTCAATAACTATTATCATTGATCAAAGTCAAATAGCTACTAAAAAAAAGTCAGAAATCAAACTCAGGTCTGATTCCCCAGTTCATGCTTTTTCTGCTACAATGTGCTGTAGCTGCAAACACATCATTATCCACATAAGAATCCATACTGGGAATATAACATAGATGGGAAACTGATGTTACCTAAATGAGATAACTATTAAGGGCTAACTAGACCAACAGAAGTATTTTAGCTCTAACATCTAATAAGGAGAACCAAGTAGAAAACTCATCAGAAAATACTGTTTAGATATTCAGGTTATAGAGTTCTGTTCTAATCACTATGAAACTACTTTCTTATCTATATAGGAATTCACCCTATTTATCGCAAACCAGTTGTAAATTAAAATCTTAATAACCAGAGCTACCCCAAAGAAGGCTCCCTGGTTGGCCTAGACAAAGAATTTCTCTTTCCTACTACATAACTGAACACTGAGTCAAATTGAGGCCTGTCAGCCTTCTTATCAAAAGAAACCGCTACTTAATATTTTTACTTATTTATAACAGTACTACTTGTAAGTTAAAGCAATTAGTGCCATCATTTTTCCTACCCAATAACCTAACCTTCCAAAATCGCACTTAGCTGTCTCACCCTCACCTGATCTAATAGAGGATAATGCAAAACAAGGATAGTAGCAAAAATAAACTTCCATAACAATATTAACAATAGGCTGACTATTTCAAGCAATTCTCAGAAACTGATCTGCCTTTAAAAAGGGTCGCTAAACCAGAATGCGATGCCCACATACATTTATTTTGGCAACTGTAGCCTATTCAGCAATGCAACAATCCTCCAAAGAAAAGAAAACCACATATATTCCAGTGAAACAAAATGAATACATGTGCCTTGGTAAAGAGGCTGAATTCTAAGCAAAGGTAGAGAACGTTTAACTAAGTAATCAACCTTCGAAAGACAGTCCAATCAGAACATCTTCACTTGAGCAACAAAGCCTTTAGAAAGTGTTCATTTTACAATAATCTTTCACATTCCTGCACTTCTTAGATTTTTTTTTAATTATAACTTCCTGACTCATGGATCTAAAATAGTCATTACATACACAAATGTTCTACTCATTTAGCTTGGAATCATGTGTAGGAAACACAGATTTCTGCTTCTAGGTTTACGACTCCATATTCATTCATTTTGCACTAATATAACCACCAAATATAGCTCTAAGACACTGATGATTAAAAGTAGTTAATTATGTGAGTGATTCATACCTCCTATGTCCAGACACCAAGATCCAAGGATGTTTCTGTCAGATCTCTGGGAAGAAGAAATGATAAACACCTGTCACAAAAGCTTTTCAAATTGGGAAACTCTTACGCATTACTGTCAATCCCCAGATTCCCTCGAGTCCCCCTCCAAACAAAGTCACATATTCACCAGAAACTAACTCTGCAAATGGAGCGGAGAGAAGGAAAGTGGCCTTGGAAGTAAGTATTGGAGAAAAGGACCCTGGGTTCTAGTCCTCACTATCGGAATCAAAGTGAGAGGCCTTAAGCAAGTCTTAAGTCACTTTTGGTCTTGACCTCACTCAGCTCAATGCGGTGACTGGCAAGGAGCTCTACTACTCCGTGACTAAGGACGAACTCAAGATTCCTTCAGTCAGCACCCGCACAAACCCATCAAACGCCCTGCCAATTACCACTACCTTCGACCTCACCATCTCCGGGACTTTCTAAAAGGGCTGGACCACCATCCCACTCCCAAACTCCAACACACACTCGTAGTCCCCTCAAGCGGCGTATCCCAATCAGGCCTTCACATTCACAACGTGAAGCCTTCCTTCTCGCCTCACTTGTCCCAGACGGACATTCCGCAGTCTCAGCGGTCCCCTCCCCACTCCACACACACCTTCCCCGAGAAGTGATGCCCAATCCCAGCCCGAGGAGGCTCACCTGGTACCGCTACTCCCGACAATATCATTCACCTCCTCCAACCTCCCCCATCACCACCACCCACCGACTCCACGCCCCGCTCACCCTTCCCTCCTGTGCCCGGGGGAACCCGGCGCCACTTACCAGACGCCACCGCGCCGTCTCCTCGGCGGCCTCCCGGCTGGAGCAGCCGAGGGACCACGGGGGGCCGGGGCCCGGGTCCGCAGCTGTTGCCGCC